ATACAGATTTTTTGAAGATAACACATGCAGTATTATTTATCATTTTTATTGACTCGAGCAACAAATCACATACAATGCAGATTTTCTTTCTCTTCGTAAAAGGAATATCTTCTTAAGCTTTTTGTCAAATAAACAAAATATTGCAAACGTAGTATTAATTTTAATAGACGTTTTGTAGCACAAACAATTTCCAAATTATAATGTAAGAGAAATATCGATTCCTAGACCGAAATTGATAAACCGAAATTGAAATGTAGGAAGAACGTGCATAGTGCACAAATATAGGTATATAATTTATTGATCAATTACGCCCAGAAGTGACGTATGAAAATTGTTTGCTCAAGAGTGTCGGAGTTTCTCCGGAATGATTGACTTCGTTTATAAAAGGGGGGCCCCGTTATTATTGCACCGTTTACCCTACATCCATGTAACGTTATTCATCGTCTGACTGCACGCGACATTCGGTCTCGTCATGCGATGCCAACGTTGTGTTTTCTCGTGGAAAGTTCTCTCGGCGTTCCGCGGCGCGCGCATTTTCACGAAATCCAGACGAAATGCACGAGAGCCGATACGCATGGCAGCGGTTAACGGAGGAAAAATTAACGGTCGGTCGCAACATTACCTTTAATATACCGAACACCTAACGTGCTAACACGTTATAGTTTGGCAGTGACGATCCGATGGCATGGCTCTCTCTCGCGCGGCATCGCTTCCTGTTCCGCGTCGTTCCAGACCGCCTGCTTTTCCGTTCGCAAAATCATTCGATCGTCATGGACTTACGGATTTTCGCGGGTTTGTTTTAACAGATCTGCACAGCCATTTCAAAGCGACAACTTGTACACAGAGAGAATTTTCTCTTTTCTGGTATTGGAAGAATTTTATAAGAGTTTCTCTGATTAATACTTATCACAATAAAAAATATTAAGAAAATGTACATAGTAAAATTAATCGAATCAATATTTTTATTGTGATAAATATATTAATCAGAGAAACTCTTATAAAATTCTTCCAATATTGTCTCGCGATTACCATGATTTTCAGGGTAGATTCTAAGAGAAAATTCTTTCTATTGTCAATGATTTTTTTAATTAAAAAAAATAGGTTTATTAAATGAAAATATTAATCAAAGTCTCTCGGCAAAGTGAGCTGCAAGTTACTTTCGAAACAAAAGTCCACAAAATGGATTTGAACGAAGACCGATTTTCTTCTCGGATTCTCTTCTCTCGTTTTGCTCCTTCATCCGTGAAGCCTTTCATTTTTTTGAAACAATGTTACAATCGAAAAGATCGTACGCGGCACGCCAATGCACTTGGACGCTGCAGCGGCGTTTCACCTGCAACGAGGGATCGCTTTTATCGGATATCCCTGCTCGGTACTTTCTCCGGACACGCTCGGAATAAAATGTTGTTCCAGCGAGGCCGTATAAGGCTTCCTATCCGCAAATTAGCCGGGCATCATCCAGAACCATCATTGTTATCCCCGGTTCATTTGCATTCGGATTTCGTATCCCCCTTTTTTTCCGGAGAAGAGCTCGGTCACAGCTCGATTGCGGCGCGCAGATCTCGCGGATTCGCGTAGACACGCGTGCTTTCTCTCGACGTTATATATGGAAACTATGCTTCATCGTTTTTTTTTTTCCCGAGATATATTCGGTAAACGGAATCACGTCACGATCACTTAACGCTAATAAACGCGAGAAGCAGCGTCGGGTTTATGTATCGCTCTCACGTCTTAATATTTACGTATTCGCGCTCGAAGATACGTAGGAACGAGAGAGAAACGGGGACGAATTCGCGCGATTAGCTTCTTCGGTAAGTGGCGTGATTCGCTTCGAAGATCCGCGTAGGTATATCACGGATGATTTGCGAAATTTTCTGTGAAAACGATAGAGACGGAAATTGTATACATGTCCGGATCTTGTATCTTTTCCGGAATATATAATAACTAAGTAAGTCGGACTCTAGAGGAAGTTTCTCTCCCTCAATCTCTGTGAAATTGGCACCTTATTTTTTAAAAACTAATTTTTTTTTTTTTCAAGTTTTGAGACTCCGAAGAATTCTAGAGAGTTCCTTATTAATTTTAAATAGTTGTGGCGAATTAAGCTAAAAAAACCATTGATGAATTTTGGGGGTGCTAACTTCATGAAATGAAATGACTTTAGAGGAAGTTTCTCCCTCAACCTCTGTGAAATTGGCACCTTATTTTTTAAACTAATTTTTTTTTTTAAGTTTTGAGACCCCGAAGAATTCTAGAGAGTTCCTTATTAATTTTAAATAGTTGTGGCGAATTAAGTTGAAAAAACCATTGATGAATTTTTGGGGTGCTAACTTCATGAAATGAAATCTACGTCAGTGATAACATTAAAAGTATTAAAAATAATGAATTTTCTCATCGTCTCTTCGATCAATGTCCAATCTATCACGTTGCTCCGAAGACGCAGACTCGGCAATTAAATGCTCTGTTAAACTGAATACGCGCGTCTTAGAGTTAGTCATCTGCTTTTGCTTACGGAGCCTCTTTCCTAGAAGAGCACATGAAATTCAATAAACACGCATGACTTTAATTCCACGTCATTCCATTCTCGATGCAAAGCATTAGTATAATTTATTAATTTTTTTTCTCATTGTATAGAGAGTGCTTATTGTATTAATTGTAGCATTATTTTGAATTATAAATATACTACATATGATTGTTTTTAGAGATTTTAAAAATTTATGAACAATATTACTTAAAAGCCAGTTTTATTTATATAAAAATGCGCTCTCTCTTTGGTGTAATTATATTATTTATTGTTAATATTATATAATTATATATAATTTGCATGTGATTTTTTTTGTTTATTATATATATGTATATATAATTAAGTAATTTAAAATTATACATAATTATATAATAGAATAATAAAATGATATAAGTATAAGAAAAAGCGCATTTTTTATATAACTAAAACTGGATAAGCAAACATTATTCATAAATTTTTAATATTACAGAGATATATGTGTTTTTTTAATCATTTAATAATTATAAGTAAAACCTCTCAAAATAACATCATCTTATTATCATATTTTGACTCATACACAATTAACATATAATCGATGATTAAATTAAAATATATAGAATAAGCTTAAAATAAAACTTGTTAGAAGTCATTTATGAAATATTTATGATACAGTAGTGACTGGAATATATTTTTACATCTGTGCTACATGTTTAATTAATTAAAATTGTGTTTCTGTTTCTTAATTAATTGCACAAATAGTGCTTGTAATCTTCTTACATGTCTCGTACACCTTTTCTATCGTGTGTTTTTGTTCAAAATCATTATCAAGCCGTCAAGCTGTCGTTATCAAGTGTTCTAAATATAAATTAAAGGGAACAGCCGGTGACGTTGAAGGATTACGCGTGTAACGCGCTATTTGCATAATGACTGATCTAAGACGTCGCATAAAATACCAGCGAATTTTTTGTCGCTCCAGCAAGTCGCCGCTTTGTCGGCAATCATGCTACGATTATCGGTCTTTGACGTACAAACAAATAAGAGATGAGATTCGTAGCATTCGCAATTAACAGAATTCACTTATTCATTCAGCTCTTATATATTTACAATTATAAATTTTTTTTTTATACACGTACGTAAATTGTCCGAAAAAATCGACGCAGACGAAATTTTTTCCGTGAACGCGGTGAAGAAAAAATCTGTTTCAAAATCACATGTTTGTCGACCTGAACTAGATCTTAATTTATCACCGTGTTAATTAGAGTATAAATACTAGATCGTTTACATTAACATCGATAAACGAGTATACGCGGCGTTATGCTGTCGCTTTTTTCTTGTGCACGAACTGCTTTTAGATTTGCCCGAAGGATCTTTTTTTTCTTCGTAAGAGATTTCAGCATTGCACATTTATCTCGTCATCTCTCTTCTTTTTTTTCTTTTCTTTTTTTGCACCTTTCTCCCTATTTTTCTCTCTTTCTCTCTTTCTTTATCCCTCCCTCTCTATTTTGCCTTGGCTCGCTTTCGAACTCTACTAACTAAGTAACTGTACTTACGTTTCCTGTATATCTAAATTGGTAACGCGATCCAAATCGGCGTAGCGGCGAATCGAACTGTATCGAAAGTCGGAATATATCGCGGAGTGCATGAAACGCGGAACTCCATCTCATCCGTATGCTCAATTATGGGAAGAATGTCGTAATACATAGCTGCACATAGGTATGCGCGTACACACCTAGGTAATCTGTCCTAAAGTGACATACATTTTCACTGAACCGACAGTTGTAATTTCAATTTTACTTTTTACAGTAACTAGTGATATTCAATTATTTCAAAGAAAGCCCTCTCTTTCTTTCTCATCTTGAGAAAATAGCTTAATTATATTTTTAACGGAATACCATGAATGAATTTTGCTTTACAATTTCACGAGGTATTGCACAGAGGCAATTTCCTCCTCGAATTTATTCTGCAAATCATGCTCGTGGGACTACATGAATTGGAAGAATTTTATAAGAGTTTCTCCGATTAATATTTACCACAATAAAAGTATTAATACATACATAGTAAATTTTACTGTTAATTATATTTTATATCTTATTGTGGCAGATAATAATATCTTTTATTGTGATAAAAATATTAATCAGAAGCTCATAAAATTCTTCCATATTGTCCCACGATTACTATGATTTTCAGGGTAAATTCTAATTGTAAGAGAAGATTCTCTCTGTGTAATACTCTAAAAAATATTTGAAATATTAATATTGTTTTATTGTGATCAAAATATTAATCAGAGAAACTCATAAAATTCTTTCAATATTGTCCCACGATTACCATGATTTTCAGGATAAATTTGAAGAGAAAAATCTCTCTGCGTGAAAAACTCGAAAAGATTTTTTGTATACAATAAATTTGTATGGTTTTACTCATCACTGGCGATTTCATTATTGTTAATTAATATAAAGTTCTAGCATAAGAATTCTCACCAAGTTCCTCGATGCTTCCGCAGGTGAAGGCTGCGTCGAGAAGCCTGTGTCGACCTTATGGCGGAACTACATGACAAGTAGCAGGCCCGATGTCTCTATGAGGCTGACGATAACCAACGGTGGTCTGACTGCGACCACAAAGGATCACGGTCTCACCGAATACTGGGCTCATCGTGTGACTTATTGCACGGCCCCGGTTTCGCACCCGCGACTCTTTGTCTGGGTGTACAGGCACGAAGGTCGCAGGTTGAGGCCCGAATTGAGGTGCCATGCCGCTCTGTGCAGCAAGGAATCCACCGCAAGGAGACTCGCCTCTGTTCTCAATGCCAGATTACAGCAGGCGCTCTTAGAATTTCGCCGAGATAAAGTCTCCAGGCAAAATGCCAGGTAAGATCAAAGTGTGACAGCATCGCGTGCTGCTGGGGGCTAATTATTTCTGTCGAGAAACAAATCTTTGTTATTTCAATATTGAATTAGTGACAGTGTTAGTTGTTCACAAAGATTTCACGAATCGAGAATATTAATATCAAAATCATATTTATTTCTCTCGGAAATGATATAGAGATAAACATAAGTGGTAAGAGTTTACCATATAAGAACGTGGTATTAGCGGAAATTAACGGGTATTATCTAAAGTTTAACGAGCAATTAGCGAGAATTAGCAAATGCTACAGCGATATTTTGTGATGGTTTTGTTCAGTATTTACCGGGAATTAGAACTGCATTAGAGGGGACTTAATAAGATATACATTACAAAGCATATTCATGCACTTTTGTTTATTCGTTACATTAGAAAAAAAATGTATAAAATTTTCTTTCAACTTTTTATTTGTCGATCAATTATTTGAGAATCGCGTAAAATTAAATAATAATACTTAAATAGTTGCTCGACAAATAAAAACTTGAAAGAAAATTCTATATATATTTTAATCTAATATAACGAATATACGTATATATATCTTTCGCTTGTAATTAAAACTGAACAGATCCCAATCAATTGCGCGACATAATTTCTCAAACAAAATTATTCGAGTTTCCGTTAGACTCATTTTAATGTCGGGCAATGGCGCGCATTCCTCGCATTTTTTCATACCACATTTGTTGTTGGGTCGTCGTTACGCCGACCATACGAATTAAGTTCCACCGCTTAATTGAAGAGAGAAATTTTCTATCTTTGCTCTTAAGAAGTACGTGCAATTACGCATTTATGATGCATCTACCGTATACAATCACGATTCCGGTCACGATTGTAGATCGTTATGTGCGCGTGATCGAGTCACGATCCAGGACGAGAAGTGATCACCGGTCGATGTACATTCGGGTCAGTGTTTCCAAGTCATAGGTCAAACATTTGTACTCTTGCTGGAATTGCACTAATACGATTCTAGGTCGCTACTTCCTTTAATACTGTCATTCAAAAATTTTTTTCTTTTTTTTTAATTTTTTTATCGAAGAAAGTAATAATTAACAAATATTGTATTTTGACGAAGAAATATATAACAATTTTTATGATCTTAATTAATATATAGCTTTTATAAAAGTTGGAAATTTATAAAGGCGCAGGATTTTTTCCAGGGAAAGATGATTAAAATTTTTTGTTTTTTATTATTCGTTCTTAATTTTTTAAATTCAATTTTTTATTATTTTGTTACTTTAATATTTTTATATTAAATAAAATTGCAAATAAATTCCAGTGTTTATCCACAAGAAGAACAAATGTTTAATTTTTTACTGATTCCAGGAGGAGGGTAAATGCCTCCTCTTGCTCCCTCCTTTCCCTGCGGAGATTTATAATATATTTTTCATCAGATATATACAGTAAATCAGCAGAGAATAACGTATGGCTAATAAAATTACGAGAAAGAAATATATAGAATAATAAAATATGTTTCTATTTACATTTCAAGAAAATTTTGCTGAGAAGATTAATTGTTTGTTACGAAATTTTATAACTGCTGATTTTGCTGACGAGAGAGAATTACGACAACGTCTTATATTGATGAGCCAGATTATGATATACTTACATATGAATTGTTTCAGGTTGTCTCTGGCAAGCGCATTGTACGATAATCCGTCGTTGCCGCGTCGGAAGCTTCTTCTGAGCACCGGCGGCCAGAACTATCGACCGCCCATGGAAAGGTCGAAGAGCGCACCAAAGCTGTCGGCAATCGAAGAGGATACGGTAGCCGAAGAAATGGAACAGCAGAGGCTGTTGGAAGAACTGCATTCCTTGGAGACGGTAGCGCGCAGCTGGGAGGATCAGGATAGCTGGAGGATAGCCAGGCTGTTGGACGCTCTCAATCGCGAATCCTCTGACGAGAACGGTAGCATCTCCAGCGGATGCGAAACCGCCAGCACGGCGACAAGCGAGGAAAGAGCCATCGGCGCAGAGGAACACCTCGCACGAAGTTAGTATTGTTCGCAGAATTTGTTACGGTCGAACGTACTGGGCTTTATAGAATTGCGCAAAGCAAATGATAATTACTTTTCCACGTGTCTCTTTTTTTTTAATTATATTTGACAATTATATGAAATATCACACAAAAGCAGTTATCGATATAAATAAACTTGTGAAATTATGCGTTTTTATATTTTGTGCAATATCTAATTAAGATAATCGAAAAATTTTAATTTACTGTAACCTTGCGCGATTTTAATATAAATAGTGAAAAAAAATATTTATTTTTTTACTTAACAGTAATGAGTTAAAAAATATATGACTAATTACTGTTTACTAATGTTATATTTATTTTTGAGCACTTTGTTGAATAACATTTTACGGAACATTGAATCTCTTTTTTTGCTTAACAACAAGCTTCTTATTATACATATTTTTGTCATGACGTCATTTCTTTTTCAAACTTGTTTATCTTTAAAATTTTTTCAGATCAAAACGATCAGCGAGGATCAATCAAGAGGGTTATTTTCTCGGAAAATCGAGGTGATAAGGAAGGACCACGAAGGAATTCGGAGGGATCGCCTCATTTCATGACGTGCGCCGGTAGTCCCCGTTTCAATCCTGTATATCCTACAAAAAGGTTTCCTTTAAGAAGCGAGGAAGAAGAATCGATGGAAGAGGAGGAAGAGGAGGATACTGCTTCCAATATGTTCGATTTTGAAGATATCGAGGATCTTGATGATGTAGTAGATTATCGACCAAGGGGTGAAGTATTAAAGGTGTTAAACAGGATCGAAGAACAAAGTAGAGAGAGACGAGCGAATGAAAAATACCCTGATAGGACAAGTCATGAATTTCTGCAAAATGAGGAAACTTCATTTCTAACTCTGGATTCTCTCGACGAGGAAGCTGATAGCGATGAGAGCGGTTACGTGGAGGCGCCACCAAAGTCTTTATTAGGTCAAGACGATAGAAAAGAAGAGGAAGAGAGCAATCGTTCGGTATTGAATTCGTTCAAGAATCAATTGGAAACTGCGCGTAGAAACATAGAAACCGATGGAAACGAGAATCAAAAAATAAAGCACGAAGATCCTAAAATAGACGAACAAAAGGAAATAGAACCTAAAAAGGTAGAGAAAAAGGATTCTTTATTAGTGGTCGATGATAATCAAAGGATCAAAGAGAGAGAAAGAGAGAGAGCGGATTTCAAATATCCTATTTCAGAAACTATCAAGAAGTTAGCTAGCGCATCACTGAGATCCAAATCCCTCGAGATGACGAGCAACAATTGCTTGAACGTCTTAAATAATTTTAAAACTTCCAAGTCATTTGATAGTACGAGAACTGATGAAATTACTATGGAATCGCCAAGTCTTCACCAAAGGAAACAATTGTTGGCACAACGTGGTGTTATGGTTTGAAAATTTTTTTTCCATCTTTTATATATATATATATATATATATATATATATATATATCGATGAAATGTTTATTCATCCATTTCCATTCAATCTTATATATGTATATATATATATATATTGAATGGAAATGGATGGATAAACATTTCATCGATTTTTCATGAACAATTGAAAATACTTATAAGTATATTTTATAAAAAAGAATTTATAAAAGGGAGTGTGAAATAATTTTTGATTCAAAAAGTGCCTGATCAATATTCTTGACAGATTTAAATAATTTTATGAATTATTTAGTTTATTGGATGAAAATAGGTTTTAATTATAAATATTCATCCTGGAGTCATTTTCCTTACTACTCGTAGTACTTATAGTATGTAAATATAGATATTAATTCGGTGATGGATACGCAGATCCTGTTGCTAAGAAATTCTACTTGTCAAAGCAATGATCAAAATATATCGTAAATGTGCTTTATTTTTTGGAAGAGTCAGCTTGAATGCTTAATTGTTAGTAAAAAAACCATCATCGAGTTAAAAAATTTTCAGTGCTGGAATGTAGACCCTAAGTGCAATATTCTAAGATGATGTTTTTTAGTTAATTTTTCAAGTCTAAAAATTGTGTGACTTTACAGAAAAAATCAAAATTGATAAAGACAATTAGAAAATTAAATTTGACTGATATTTAAAAGCTAGAATCAGCCAAATTGAGATGTAGAGAAATCATTAAAAATTACTGGGTTTTTATAAATTATTTATAATTATATTATTTTATTATTTAATAACGAGATATTGACATTATTTTATTCTATTCTGTTTTATTATTATATCACGCACATAAGGGATTCTCTACTTCCGGTTCTGCCATTACTACAGGTCGACAAGGAAAATATACCTATATATACAAGATGGATATGAAAATTGAAACTATTAATTTTTTAATATTAATGCCTGTTGCATATAGTTGTAGTTTTGTGTTTAAAAACATTCTATTTGATAGAGAACAAAGCGCAATGCAGGCAATTGGTAATATTGGGATGAAATCAGTTTGTGCATAAATTGCAAGAGTAGTTGCTTTGTTCAAGTATGAGCTGGATAATTTGATAATATGGTTTTTCGTGTTATATTACGCTTCCATGATGACAGAATTCGCTTTTCAAAGCCTGTATTAGAAGATTAGTCGCAAAAATGTCCATTGAACCGTTCGATTCATTGTCGATAATGCAGTTCGTCTTGTTGATCTTATAACGTTGATGTTGGTTGTGCATGTGTTTTTTGATAAACAAATGTGCCGATAAATCGGCAAAGCTGATGAGATTTGATTTTGTGGAATAAAAAATAACTGAAGATAGTTAATGGAGAATAAGTAATTGTGCTTGTTGTAAATATGATTTTTCACAAGATGAAAAGAAATTATGTTTGTCGCTCATAATAGTAAGAATGAAAATGATAGTCGTTGTAGGATACAATTATTTCCTTGTTGCGCTCGCAAATATATTCGAAGATATTTTCTAAAAGCAGTCGAAAATTCATATAAAATTCCAATATTGTCAACATCTAAATGTACTGAAGGCATACAAACATTTTTTTTTAGCATTGGATATATCCTATGTATGCAAGTTCTGATATAAGAACTCGCCGTGATTTATTAGATAATAGAGATAAATGTGGTTTCTTTTTTTTTATTGATTGATTATTACATATTATAACAAAAATTTAACATTCCATTACAAGTTGATTTTGGATAATATCAGGTATTATACTAGTGGTGTTTAATCAAGTAAATATAGCATGTATTATTAGTAAAGCGCTAAAACGAGTATTTTGAATGGAGCATGCTCGGAGGATTTTGCCGTTCATGCGAAATCTGAGATTGTGCCAGATAGGGCCAAATTCTCTACTGAGATAACAATCCTTGTAAAGAGAAAGAGAGAGATAGATAATACCAATAAAATAAAGGAAACTCGAAGAGTCAGAAAACACCTGGTTTTGAAACCCTTTTTGCTCCTGATCTTTGAAGTCTCCCCTCGCGTTGGCATACAAAATCGCATCTAAATCAGCGTCGTGACCGGCACGAATCGGTCGATAATTATACGACTAGCGTGCCAGAAAACGTAAATTGCAATTTTTTAAGTCTTCTTAGAAGTGAAGAGTCTTCTCCGCGAATCCGGGTCGAAACGATCGAATAGGAGCATATGGTCGATGAACTTGATCAATTTTATCTAACATCTATCGTTTATGATATTTTGCAAATGAAAGAAATTTGTGTGCGATACATGAATATTAATTATTATATATTCTTACTATATATCTTTCATGTCCCAAGAGACTCTGACATCTCAAGAAAAATTGTTGCATACTGTCGTAGCTCGCAAACGATTATAAAAAGAAGATAACATTTACTATAAAAAATATGAAGAGTTCTATATACATTAGAACGTAAATAATTTTTTCTCTCTTAGAGAATATTTAAATATAGACTTTGTAATTGAGCAGAAATGAGCAAATATTTAACACAGTTATGTTTACAATATATGTAAAGTCATTAAAAACAATCAGAAAAAGTAAAAGCCAAATCAGAATGGTGTTGCGAAGAGGAATTAATAAATTGAACAAATTAACTAGTGAAAAAAATAAGAAACAAAGCTTCCTCTATGAGGAAGCAATATGTGTATACATATATTATTATTAAGGATTTATTGATAATTATTCAATTATATATATTCATTTTTTCCATAATACAATAGGATTTGCATCAAAATAGTATACTATAGAATACTATAAGATTGGATTTATGAAATAATAAAATTGAAGAATAACATAATACGAATTGTAAAAGCACCAAGAGAAATCTATACTTGTTTTTTAAATAATTTTGATATGATTGTTGTACGCGGCAATTAACAAACATTCTGTCATATATATATATTGCTATAAATTATTATAATTAATATAAATTTAATAGCAATAATATAAAAAAATGATCTCTAACAAAATACGAGTCTGATAACGGAAAATACGGTTTGAGGATAAGCTCTTCAAAAAGATAAAAAAAAAAAAGAACAATTTTGATGCCAGCACTTGTGTACTCTGCGCTCATAAAGAATCGCGCATAATAAATTATTTATATAAGATACGAAAACATGGAGCGCAATCGTCAGTGTGTGTCGTGAGCTGGGCCTTGCACGGAGTCAAGATCAAGATCAAGGTGCCGTGCCACTGTGTGGGCCTGCTCGCCGGACCCGCAACCAGACTCCAGCGTGAACACGATAACGCCGTGCCCGCGTTGGTACCACTATATTCTCGGCTCGGTACCGTGACATGCATCACGTCGGTGTGACCTACTGAGAGTCGAGAGATACGGCACGACGCACACGCGCGTACAATACACACATCCGCGCGCGTTAAGAGAGGAGCAGAAGCGGGAAGAGACTCTCGGAAGGTCCGTGGGGCCTCTTCATCTCGCCCGTTGGGCTCTTTGCGCACTGGCTGGACCACTTCATCAAGATCCGTATAAAAACGTACCTTCGCGAAGATCGCTCGCGCGCTTAATGCTCCAATAAAGTTACACAAAGATATGGAAGGGAACCTGAATTGTAAAAAAAAAGAAATTATATCTTGGAAGAGAAATTTTTAAAAAATTTGACAGAGTTCAAGTAAATACGACTTGCAGTTTGATAATGTCATATGTTAAATTCTTATACTGCTATAGTGATAAAAAAAGATAAAAATATTTCAAAACAGTTTAGAATATAAAAGCAAAATTTACTTAACATTCTCTAATTTTTTTTCTATTGGAGATACATATGTTAAGTTAGAAGTGCAATCTTATTCTCATATTTTCAGAAAACAATATGCAGCAAAATTATTTTAATATATTCTGAATTCAATACTCAAATAGATAAAAAGTTGGATAATTTATTCAAATACGCATACATAATAATAAGTTCCTTTACTTTTTTCTTTTATGACCATTCTTAAAGAATGCAAGGCTGTTTACATGCCGCCTCATAAAAAATACAGTGAAACCAAAAATTGACTCGGTCATGTCAATTTCATTAAAATCATATTATACAATTATAATATTTAATGCATACATTACTTTACATCCTGTCAAAAAATTAACTCGTTAATGCACGTGCAGGTTTTTCAGAAAGAAAGAAAAAAGTCATCAATTTAAAAATGCTTTTAAAATTTTTTCAATAACGCGTCATATTTATCCTTAAGCAATAATTAATAAAATTTATATAAATAATTTACATATAAATATCTCAAATATATCTAACACGATTTTTCAGCTACAAGAGAATAGCGGTATTTATCAAACTTAATAATGAAAGCATACACGAATCTAAGATTCTTAGAAAATAAAAATAGTCGTGATTGAAACACACTCCACTAAATGAAAAAAGTTTTGATATATATTTTAATTGGAGCCTTAATGGGTTAATAAAAAGACGACTGTGTCAGCTCTCGATTTAAGCACGTTTAAAAGTAAGACACTAGCTAAACGAGGTACATGTATCTCGAATCCCTTATCTTTTTCGAGTACACCAGGTGGTACGAATTTGGGGCCATGCCGCACGGGGATCTGACGCGGCGGTATTCTACCTGTGGTAGGAGATGCACGTGGACCTCCATAGAGCGCGAAGCGCACCTCGCAGGGATCCATATATACATGTGCGCGAGTCGTGAGTAGTGTTAACGGCCTTGCTTTATGTGGGTCATGAAACAAGGTCCCACCAGTACAGGGGAACCCGAGAGAACAGACGCGCTTAACTCGTACTGGTACTGACATTTATACACACACACACACACACATATGCTTACACAGAACAACGAATCTCCGGCAACAACTTACGCTAGTACGCTGACATCGAACAGTGCTTTCTATCGAGCTATCGATGATATGGTGCACCTTTCCTCTGTAGCTCGCTCGAGCATCGAACACGATTATCGTATCTATGTAAAGAAGGGGACAGATTTACATGTGGCTCTCGATATATGCGGAAATTCTCTCCGCGGAATTCCGCCGTAACGTAA